AACTCATAACCTTGCAAACACTTTATTGTAGGCCTATCACTGCAAATGTTGTAAAAATTAATATCAGTTTTACACAGTACACCTAGTCTGCTGTTGTATAACTCGAGAGGAATTATAGGTCCGTCTATTCCATGATATTTCTCTTTATATACTATAGATGATCTTTAAATTTTAGGTAATAGCCAGGGCCAATAAATAATTCCTTCGGCATCTAAAATGTTAGTTTTCTTTAGTTAAATCCATGGAAACACTCAACTTTTTGCTTTTTATTCCAGGTATGACACTAGAAGAAATGGCCCATCTGTGTGATGAAGGGGTGAACGGATGGTTGCTCTCAAGCCATATGGCTTATCTTCTAAACAAGATGACAGCGAGCCATGATCGTACCGGTACTCTGTGTTTTTGTTTGAATGCCACAGTTGCCAACACGAGAATGACACAACTTCGGGATAGGCATCATTACGAATTCAAGGACATTGATCAGTTGGTTTTGGTGATCAATGTAGGGAAATTACCAGACAATTCTGTCTACATTAGGAGTGACATTCAGTCTGGAAGTCATTGGGTTTTAGCCGTTGTTAAGTTATCAACTAGTGAAATATTTTACTGTGACAGCATGACATGGGGGGTACCAGCCAATCTGTTGGTTAGGATTGAGGAATATACCTCATTCTTCAATGTCCGGCTGTCTCCCAGTTCCATCAAAGTTTGCCACACTCCAACACCAATTGGACAATTACATCGCTGTCAAGGCGGCTGCACAAATTACCCTATTCAGCGTTGCAGCAATGTTTGTGGGGTGGTGGCTCTATGCTGTGCTGCTGTAGCTACATTTGATAGACCACTGTTTGATTTTCTATGTGGAGCTAGAACCAGTGCATTGACTTATCTCGGTGATCCAACTAGATATGCCAAGTACCTTCGACATGTGCTTATATCATGGTTCATCACGGGGAGGATTGACATTAAAAATATCAGCTTGAAAGAGATTCCAAGATCAAAGCCAGTGCAGCCATCACATGCTGTCATCCCTCCAACGTTGCCACTGTCTGAACACACCTATGCTCAAGTTCTTAAAGGGAGGATGCAGAGAAAAAGGAAGATGTCGAACTATGAAAATAAGGTAAGACAGGCTTTTTTACCATCTTAATAGATCAGTTGCATTCCATTCCAGAAGAGTATATTATGTTATGCATTTAAATTATTGTTTTCAACCAGAGAAATGAGATGGAGATGGAGATGAGATGGAGATGGAGATGTATTTTACATACTGTATGCAACATGACAAGACACTAATGATACTTTTAATTTCTTTTTCAGGAAAATGGAAGACCTGGCAGTGAAAAGGATACTTTTCAAAGTCATCCATCGCAACCAAAGATGAAAGTGAAAGTTGGTGAGGGCCTCAGGCTTGCACAAGAAGAGCCCGTTTCAGAAGTACATGTCTCTCATTCAGTCAACCCAAAACCCAGAGACTTGGTAAGTATGATTTATATCTCAGGTTTCAAAGAGAGAGAAGTGAGAGACATACAGCTGTAGCATAAAAAATGCACATTGTAAACTCTGCCAAGAATTAAAAATGTATCTTCCTTCTTTCAGGTTGAACAAAGAAAGATCCATAGTGATGGAAATGATGGAAAGTGTGATGAGAAGCCAGCTGGCACTAACACAAAGGATTATCTTGTTTCCTGTGAAACAAGAAAAGTTAGTTCATTTCTTATTCGAACATAACATTATGATTATGGTACCAAAATTGCTCTTTTTTTATAGGTCATTGTTCTTACTCATACCATGGACCTATGGATCTATAGGTCCATGATGTCCTAGACTTTGATGGAAATCACCCAAAATAAATGGATGGCCTTGATCTGAATATTTGAATAATCTTTTTTTTCAGGATGACACCACAGGCCAAGCGGAAGCCCCATCAAAGTATGTTTGTCCATACTGCAAACTTCAACTTGCTAGCCGTCAGTCATTGCACCGTCACAAGAAGAACAAACATGCAGACGAGAAAAAGAAGAACCTACAAGGGCTCAATCCAATGTTACAAGTGCAAGACATTTTGGTGAGTGCATACTGGATATTTCCACGCACTTGACATGCTTGAGGGACATAGCAGCAGTATGTTTTATGCTGGGCATCAATAGGCGGATGTTTTTTCTTTGGCAATAGCAGGCTGTAAAAGTTTTGCAAAATTAACTGCATTCTCCTTAGAAATAAATGGCTTTCTATAAGAAATTATAATCGGCGAAATAAATACTGTATACTGTCCCAATACTGTCCCAACGTCAAGGCCTGTTTTTCTCAGTTGTCACGTCAGCAGTTGCAAGTATAACCATGTTCTTTTTCTTTCAGCTGTGGCACTATGAAGAACTCGTTGGACATCTGAACTCCAGTCATGATCACGTCTTCCAGATACAGCAGGCCGAATTTGCTTCAAACAAGGAATACGAGGGGTGGAAGTCTGACCTGGAGAGTCGTATGAACTTCTTTCATCAAAGCATATGGAAGCAACAACTGTAGGAACCATGTGACATCTTATTATTATTGCAATCGCGCAGGGACATACGAAACCAAAGGAACTGGCAAGAGGGCTCTCAAATCACAAGGTTCATCCAAGATATCAGGACATTGTTCTGCTTTCTTAAATAGCACTACCTACAAAGACACTGGTAAAGTAACTGTTGAATACTGTGTTGATCATGTGCATGGGACCAAAATTGGCCATCTAAAAATGTCAGAAACGTTACAGTCTTTTATTGTTGGAAAACTTTCAAGTGTGTTGACTCTAAAGTCCTTCTTGATGAAATTTCGTGACAGCATGTCTAAACTGGATGGGCGTGACAAGCTGGTAACACACAAGGATATACTTAACATAAAAAACCAATACAAAATTTCTGTGGCAAACAGAGACAGTAATGATAGCAAAAGTACAAAAATTTGGGTGAATGATCTGCGGGCACAAGATTATGATCCAATAGTTATTTTCAAAGAACAGGGTATTGAAGAGTTTGGGCTTGATAAAGATAATTTTCTACTTGGTATTCAGACTGAATTTCAGAGGGATGTTATGCTTGAGTATGGACCTTCTGCAATTTGCATCGATTCCACACATAAAACCACCCAATATGATTTTCTGGTCACTACAGTCGCTGTAGTTGATGATTATGGTGAGGCTATTCCAGTGGCTTGGCTAATTTCTGATAGAGAAAATGAAACTACACTTGTTCCTTTTTTGAAGCTCTGAAGCAGAGGGTAGCTGATATCAAGTGCGTGACAGTTTTTATGAGTGACTTAGCCAACAACTTTTACAATGCTGGTGCTGTGTATCCAAAGGCCTGTTCAGCGTCTGTACTGTAATTGCACATAAAGAAGAATTGGAATAGAAATGTACTGTCAAAGGGTAAAAAGGGGAGAAAAGCCAAAAAGGAGTAAATGTGATGCTAGAAATCCTCCTTTATGAGCCTGATGAAAGTAAATTTAGGAAATCACTTGCAGAAGTTGTTACCAGACTGGAACTTGCACCAGAATTCCAAAAGTATTTCGTACTTCTTATGTTGTAGAAGACAAGATCAAACTGTGGGCTACATGTTTTAGAAAGGTACCATCGTCAATACTAACATGTATGTTGAAGCATTGAACAGGGTTCTAAAGATATATACTTCAAAAGAAAACAAAATAGAAGAGTGATGAATTATGGTTACATTACTAACAATTGCTAGGGACAAAGGACATGAACGCTTCATCAAACTGGAAAGGGAAAAGTAACAAGCAAAATAAAGGACACCAGAAAAGACATGGTCCTGGCGTTGATCTTGTGGGGGTGTTGAAGTGGTTACAGAGGGAATGGCTTGGAGTGTCCCTCTTCATCTTCAGATGGTCGGTACATTGTTGAGAAACAGAGAGTCCTGTAATTGTAAACTAAAATGTCATTTCTGTAATGTTGCCTTCACATGCTCACCTGTACTTGCCTGGATTTTTTAATTCACTCTGTTGCATGCAAACATGTTCACGCTGTTAAAATGTATTGTGATGCCAGTGATACGACACCAAGCAGTGTGATAGAAAACACTGACAATAATTCGGATAATGAGACGTCTGATGTTGTTGTGGATGAAAATCAAAATTATGCAGATTATTTTGAAAAGGTTCTTTGTAAATCTGCTGTGGAATTAGAGCAAGACCTTACTGATGTAAAGAAGGCAGCTACTGACAATATTTCTGACCTCTTGAAGGTAATTGAATCTTCACAGGATGCAAATGCTGTCCAGTGCTCCCTTAAGTATTAAGGTGCTGTAGCAACTATAAGGGTCTTGCAGTTGTCTTATCAGACAAAGATTTGAGAAAAAGGACAGTTTTTTCATCAAATAAGAAATTTGAACCCCAGACCAGGTTTTATAGTACCAAAACAAAAGAAGAAAGGGCCATCAGTTTTCCAAATTTTTAAAACCAACTTTACAAGAAAAAGGTGAACAAAGGAAAAAATTGATTATTAATATTAGTGCACATAAATAATTCCAAATAAGAAGAGAAAGACATATTATTAGCTGTGAATTGTTCCCACTCTTGATTTGATTGATTTATTATTTTGGTAAAATATATAAAAATAAAGAATATACATTATCATGTCACCCTAACTACCATGGATAACGCAACAAAGTAAAATACTTATTTCCATATGGTCAAAGGTGACATATAACAACATAATACAACACATAACAACACATGGTATAATAAAATACTAATAAAATGTTCATAGAACTAATTAATAAAGATTTCCAATGCCTTATATAGTTAATTTAAAAACAGCTACAGTTTATTAGTTAATACACATAAATGTCAGTTTCAATTTTGCTTTAAAATAATAAAAATATGTTTAACAAACCTTAAAAAAGTACGAGCAGATTTAATGTAATAAGGAAGCAAATTCCATAATTTTGAAGCAGTAAAGTTGAAGATTTTTGACCATACTTTTATATGATTCAGCATAAGTACTTACCCTAGTAAAATGTTATTGAAAACTCATTGAAAAAAAAATCTCATGAAAAACTCAGGACTTCTGAATACATTGGGAAAAGATGTTGTAAAATACTACTAACATTATAGAAATGGTAAAATTTTTATTTTAACAAAGTCCCTAATTAATGTATATTAGTATTTCACATATATTCAGCATGAAAAAATAATCATGGTGCCCGTAAAAGACTTTAACAAATAAAATTTGTTTAAACGCTCATAGAAGTATGTGTTAAACGTAGCGACATTTTGCCCTAAGATGGCGCCTGTAGCGGCTTAAGTACAGAGCGGATCAGTTTCCCCTCCTTGTATAGCTCCTTGACTAAGACAAACCGGCTGAACACGGAAACCACACGTGCACACTGTACATTGCATCTGCGCATGCGTAACATAGGGATGACGCCTGTCGCTAGCCGCATGTGTAGATTAAATATGTAGAGGTAAACTCCACAGACGACACTCTCAATATTGACATTTCCTGCAATTTTGACAAACAGCTTAGTTTTCATGATGATGGTATATGTTACGGCGTACTGATGAAATGTACAAGGAATAATTAAATTAGTATTAATAAAGTAAAAAATTGAAATATATAATAATAATGAAATAAGAAATGTATAGTAAGCAATTAGAATAATAAAGTTAAAGTAAATAAATAGATAAATAAATGTATATATATGATTTTATATAAAACATTTTATACACTGCATATATTTATATATGCTCGACGTGGTTATACCTAGTGTGCTATGAGACAAGAATTAAATATGTAAACACCTATTAATAAATTCAATATATATATATATTCCATAATTATATTCTTTTAGATCTCACAATTACATGCGGTGCCAACTGGCAGTGAAAGCATTCAAGGTCGGAGTTCAGAAAGTGGCAATAGTTTTTGTGAATCAGGCGAAGAGGAAGTTGAAGTTCAGGTGAGAATACCCATGTCTTGAGTAAATGACATTTGCCTAACAAATTAGAGGTGTAGGTAATAGCATAATATTGCACAGGTATTGTTAGTAATCAATAATGTCAATAAATCATTAACGTTATGAACACAGTCAAATTCTACATTAGCAAATTAAGATTGATAGCGATATAAATGTAATCCTAGTTATGGAAATTATTGTCTTGAGTGGCATTATTGCAGGACAGAATAAATAAGCATTACACATATTCCATACATAATTATTATCGAGTTTGTTCATTGTTTGTGTTTGCAATCCTGTAATGATTTCCCCTATAATTAGTAAAAGCGTTAGAGATGTGGATACCTTCACACTCATCATTTCCCTAAAAGTTATGATCACTGCTGAACTTTTATATATAGGAATGTCTTGATTTTAAAGTATTGTTTTTAGTGTATGATTAACATATGTATATTATTATAGGATGAAATAATCATAGAAGAAGTTGGAGATTGTGATCTTTTTGATGATGATTTTAATTAGTATGTAAAACTTTGTTGCTGTAGTTAGTGAGCTAGAGAAACAATCCAGAAAGTTCATTTCAATATACAGTGAAACTCGCATAAGTCGATACTTTTGGGACCGGCATATATTTGTGCCGACTTACGAAAATGAGGACATACGCAAAAGTCGTCATTTTGTCGACTTCTATGTAAGTCGCCTAAATGACGACTTATGGACGTATATCATCATTTTGACGATTTACAAAGCCGGTATTTCGACGACTTGGAGAGTGTCAAGCTGATATTTCGCCGGGCTTTTTATCTACATGAACTACTTTTTCGACGCAACACGACTGTTTCCACGCAAGCTGAAAAAAACAATGCGTCCAAGCAAATAATGTGAATGAAACAATCAGTGCACACAGCAACAACTCATGTAAACTCGGTTGCGCGATCTACAGGCGATCATCAGTTCGACCTAAGCACATATATCTGCGACAGCCAGCTCGCACATCCCCTAGACCGTACACTGCGCCATCGGCATTTCTGATGACGACTTACAGATGGGAAATTACTGTTGTTTGTATTACATGGGACTTGTCTGAGGGCGACGACGTGCACATAATGACGGCTTATAAATGACGACTTAGGCGGGGCTATTCCAATGGATTTACTATGAGAGAAAATCGGGACTTTGACTTCCATGATGACTTATGCGAGTTTTACTGTACTACAAAGGCATATCTTTATAGTGTTTATCATTATATTGCATTTGATTATCAAGAACCTATGACTGCTGCAGTGGTGCTCAGTAAATGTCTTAAATTTTCATATAATTTTCCTCAGCTGACCATTTACATGTAAGAATGGATCTTTTTCAATGACAAACAAATGAAATGTTCTCAAAATATGTAATAAGTTGCATGTATGATTCCCAATTATTTTTTTTAGGATAATAGTTTGTATGATGGATGCCCTATCACCAGGAGAGAGAGCCTGCTTCTCGTAATGGCACACATTATTCGCCACAGCACAAGTGGAGCAGCCCTTCAAAGTTTGCTGAAGCTGATAGAATGCCATCTACCCACTGGAACAATGTTCCCTGCCACTAAGTACTTATTTAACAAACACTTTAAAGAAGCAGGAGGGTCAATCCAGTTCCACGCATATTGTCCGAAGTGTGTGTCTTACATTGGATTGAAAGATGCTGTGTGTGAAAATTGTGGGAATGAAGTGTGTGTAAATTACTGTATTGAAAATGGACACTACGCCAGTGTTGTGTTAGTGTTGTTACGAGAGTTGCTTATGTAGCTCGAGAGAGGGCGCACCCTCGGCCTCTCGAATGGTGTCGTTCTAACGAGGTGACGCGCTTTGGTTTATTGTGCGAAAAGTTAGCCTGAATAAACTCTGGTTTGGTCCACTGAGAAGCTGTTTCGTGTGTGTATTACAATTATCCAATCAGTGGCCAGACACATAGGTGCGACCGTAACAGCAAGTTCTCAGGCAGCATATCAAGCAGACGGACACTCTCAGTTGCAAGTCAACGGTGAGACGCGTATCGTTCTGTCGAGAGAAAAGAAAGAATTCGTACTCGAGGCTCTTGTCGTGGAGAACATGGACGTCGATGTCGTGGCCGGTGTTCCCTTCATGGAGGCCAATGACATCACGGTTCGGCCTGCCAGACGTCAGGTCATCCTTGACGATGGTAGCGTGTACCAGTATGGTCCAAAGAAAGGGCCCTCTACCTCGCCTTCAGTACGCCGTGCGCAGAGTTATGTTCTGCATGCGCAGTCGTCCACTACTACGATATGGCCAGGAGCGGATGCAAAACGCAATCTCCATGAAGGCTTAGTACCTGATGCCTCGCTCGCTCTAGAGCCTCGCACGGACACTGCTGCTACCCAGTCAGTGAAGGTGTCACAAGTGTGGCCCCAACCGGGCATCGTAGACAGTGTTGGCGGCAAAATTCAGTGCAAAATGAAGAAAAGGGGACGAAAGAAGCTAACTAGTCTAGCTAGTAACTGTTAACTGCTAGCTGTTCTAGCTGTTCTAGCTGTTCTTACTGTTCAGCGTTGTTCATGTGATTGAATCGATTGCCCGATAACGCGTACATAGTAGTTCTGTTTAGTACCCATGTTACTTTATTATGTTCTAGTTGCGGTACTTGTTAGTCCGTATAAGTCTATATAGTCAGTTAGTCTATACAGTTCAGTTTACGCACACTGCAGTGCATTTAATGAGGAGAAAAAGGCAGTCACGCCAGTGTTGTGTTAGTGTTGTTACGAGAGTTGCTTATGTAGCTCGAGAGAGGGCGCACCCTCGGCCTCTCGAATGGCGTCGTTCTAACGAGGTGACGCGCTTTGGTTTATTGTGCGAATAGTTAGCCTGAATAAACTCTGGTTTGGTCCACTGAGAAGCTGTTTCGTGTGTGTATTACAATTAGCCACTCATCTACATTGTGGCGCTACTTCATCACATTTGATGTTAAGGAGCAGCTGCGCACTGTGTTTGATAATGACGATACAAGAAAACACCTTCAGATTGGTGCAAAGCGCAAGTCATGTGATCTCTATGCTGGTAACCTGTACCGTAAACTTCCGCTTGGAGATGATGACATAACGGTGTCATTGAACACAGATGGTATGCAAGTGTTTGTTTCTTCAAATTTTAGCATTTGGAGGAAAAATATCTTTCTGTGTGGACTCTGGTTTGGCAGATCAAAGCCAGACATGAATACCTTCCTGAAGCCATTTGTCTCGGACATGAATGAACTAGCTGTGCATGGGGTTGAATGGAATGATGGCACCCATACACACAAGAGCAGAGTGATTGTGGCAACATGCTCTTGTGACTCACCAGCAAGATGTCTGGTCCAAAACACTTCTCAATTCAATGGGCATTATGGATGCAGTTGGTGCTTGGCACCTGGTGAGGTGCTTCCTGTTGGAAAGGGATATGCACGTGTTTACCCTGCTGGCAGTGAGATACATCCAAGGAGGTCCCAGAGTAACCATATTGACCATGCACGAATAGCTCTACAACAGAATAAACCACACCTTGGAGTTAAGGGGCCATCAGTGTTATTTCTGCTTATGTACTTTGACATGATTAATAACTTTGTTGTTGATTACATGCATGCTGTGTGTCTTGGTGTTGTGCGAACTGTTACTGGTTTATGGTTAGATAGCAGTAATCACACAAAAGCATATTACATTGGTACGTCAATAAGGCATCTTGATGAACGTTTGGCAAGCATCAAACCTCCATCAGAAATTACCCGGTTTACAACCTCACTGAACTTGAGAAAAAGCTGGAAGGCCAGTGAATGGAGGGCATGGCTACTCCATTACTCAGCTGTTGTCACCAATGCATTTTTACCACAACCTTATTACAATCACTGGATGATTTTAGTGACAACCATGCATTTACTCCTGGCTGAAAAAATTGATCAGAAAACAATTCATTTGTGTGAGTTTCTTCTTATAGATTTTGTAGTCCAGTTTGAAGTGTTGTATGGGAAAGAAGCCATGAGATTCAATGTCCATCAATTACTGCATCTTACAGAATGTGTGCATAATTGGGGTCCAATCTGGACATACTCAACATTCCCCTATGAAGGAATGAATGGAAGATTAGCAAAAATGTTTCATGGCACACAGTGTGTTCATAAACAAATGAATGTGTTTGGTTTTGATAAATCTACAACACAGGCTAATGAGAGTGTGTACTGTCTAGGATTGCCTGTTAAGTTTACACTGAATGCTACACAATCAAAAGCATTACACTCTCTTGGAATTATTCAAAATAATCCAAATGTCCGGGCATATCGAAAAGTTGTAACTAATAGTGGGCTGACTTTAGTATCTAAGCTTATTCAGCACAAACGTCAAAAAAGAAACAATTCATGTGTACAATTTGGGAATGACAAGATTGGTTCACTTGAAATTATTGTGTCAGTTTGCAAGGACAGATGTGATGCTGTTATGTGTGAGTGCCAGAAAGAGTTCTGTTGTATTCTTAAAAGCATTAACACAACCCGTCCTATGTTCGCAAGATCTACAGAGAATTACAAAGTAAAGCTGGAATCTGTAAGAGCGGTTGTATTTACAAACGTAACTGTAGCATGCATGTTAACCCTTCTAGAGGCAGAGCGACATTAATGTCGCCTCCCGTAGAATGGGCAGAACGACATAAATGTCGTTTTTACCAAAGCCATTTCTAACAGCCTCTCTGATTGGATAAAGCCTAGATTGCAATGTTTAGTTGGTCTGGTTATCACGAGAGGGCTCTGATGTTCACGAAACGGCACACTTTAGGCTGAAATCATGGTAAATGTTCATTGAATCACCAAATTGACAAGGTTATAGACCCGAAAGTAAAAAAGTTGTTTCAAGATGGCGACCTCCAGTAAATCACCACGTCGTTCTGTGCGAAATAGGCCCCGTTTGTTTAATATACAGCAAGTTGTGGGACTTCTATCTGATTCTGATGATGAAGAGGAGGTTGTAGATAGTGGTAGTAACCTAGATCCCAATGATTTCCCTGGTTCTGACTCAGAATCGGGTAATGAAAGTGAAAATGATGATGTGCATGCTTGACTATAGTGTTGGACTAAGACATACTTCCCACAATATCATAAGTAAGGTAGGAAAATGCACTTTTTCTACTCTTATTGACTCTTACAGTGTATTCATGTATAATCATAATGACTCTACCATGATTTCAGCCTCAACTAATGCCCTAGAGAAGTTTAAATCAAAGTTACCCATTTTTAGGTAAAATTTGGGAATTAATTCGCCCAAATCAATACGTATTTGGGCAAAAACCTGCCTCTAAAAGGGTTAAATGATATAACTGGAAAGTATGTTATGATGGACCTTAACACAAAACAGTTTGTGTCTCTCCTTCCAAGCACGTTAGAACTGGATTAAATATGTTAATAACACATCCAGTTCTACTGTGCTTAACACGTACTACTGTGTATAACACTGTTATATCGTTTTATTATACGACATGAAAGTTTGTATATATGTCGTAGTGAATCAGGACCGTTGCAAACCGTGCATTGTTATCAATATTAACTGTTATATTTACTTCCCTAATCATGTAACTCATCATTAATGAAGTTTGTTGCTGGGAGCCACCTGTCTCAATATTTTATGGATGCACAGTATGACTACCTGTACTGTATAATATTTCTACAGAACAAATCGAATTGCTTTGAATACTATATTTTTGTGTAATTTTTTTTCTATAGAACTCATTCTTTAATTCTGTAGAATTTCTATAGAAATTATTTTCTAAAGAAAAACGTCTACAGAATTGTATAAATTTTCTATAAAATTTCGATAGAAAATATTTTCTATACGCTTTTCTATAGAAATTTTATAGTATTCTATAAAATATTTTCCTACGGGTATACTGCTGATGATAATCCAGTCATGCCTCCTACTGCTGATGATAACCCAGTCGTGCCTCCTACTTCTACTGTTGATGATAACCCAATCGTGCCTCCTACTTCTACTGCTGATGATAACCCAGTCGTGCCTCCTACTTCTACTGCTGATGATAACCCAGTCGTGCCTCCTACTTCTACTGCTGATGATAACCCAGTCGTGCCTCCTACTGCAGGAGCTGATGACAATCCAGTTCCCTCGCAGAATGAAGGTATGCATAATACTATGAAGTTTCATAATCCTGTCCAGACGTCTCGCCACACTCTATTATAAAATATGCATTTTATTTGTCAAAAATAATATAACATCTGAATGAGCATGATACCCATGCTAGATATAGACTACAATAGAGTGGTAAAAATTAGTTATTACGTTTATATTTTGCAGACAATCATATGGTGATCAAGTTCCCAGTAAGGAACGGAAGACAGCCCAGGAGAAAGTTGCATGGTATAGAAAAAAGTACCCCATTATGCCACCCTGCAAAGACTCCTGCCGAAAGAAGTGTCAAGATAAAATCACGGAGGAGCATAGAGGTCTGATAAATCACACATTTTGAGGCCTATCTTTCCCAGGGAGAAGGGGCTGGTTTGATGCCCATATAAACGTCTTGGGCATCAAAGAGCGCACAACAGCAGCTGGTGCGAATGCCAAACGCAAAAACACGCTTAGTTATACACTGCCACTGCCGAATGGAGTAGATCTCCATGTCTGCAAGACGATGTTCATGCACACACTCGGTACCAAGAACGATGGTATGATACCGAGTTTGTAAATACCAAGCTAAATGCACCTGAACAGGCTATCTTGCCAACGGCAGAGGCAAGGGGTAAACATGAACCATGGAACAAGATCGACAGAGGGGCGATAAAGCAGCATATTAACTCCTACCACCCTGCTGTTAGCCACTATAAAGTAAGCCATACCCCACTCAGGCGTTACCTAGAACCTGGCTTAACAATTTCGCTCATGTGGCGGGATTTCTGTGAAAAAAATAAGACAATTTCATAACTCAAATTTCATGAACTCTACAGGCAAGTATTTGAATCAGAACGGATCACATTTGCCGAACCCTCGCAGGATGAATGTGAGACTTGTCTTGCATATGCACTGCATGTCAAGGAGTCGAGTGAAAATGATGATCATGATGCAGATACATGTGAGGAATGTATTGATGGCCATGAACATAAGATAGCTTACACAAAAGTTCGAATTGAATACCATAGTAGGAGATTCCCCGATGGATTTAATGTGTATGCCGTTGATATGCAGAGGGTAATACTTCTGCCTAAACTTTCCACTAAAGAGAGCTTCTTTGTGAGCCGACTCATTGTTTTCAATGAGACCTTTGCCCGAATGGGAGCTGATCATGAACCAGATTATGTGGTGTTGTGGCATGAGGGAAAGTCTGGTAGACTTGCCCAATATGTTGCAAGTGCGTACATCAAGTGCATTATTAAGGATGCATCCCCTAACCTCCTATTCTGGGTTGATAATTGTGGGGGGGGGGCAAAACAAGAACTAGACATTATACACAGCTCTCGCACTATGTGTGAATGCATTTTGGGGCCCTCAGCAAGTGGTTATCAAATACCTACAAAAGGGGCACACTTACATGAAGGCAGATTCCATTCATGGGTCTATTGGGAAAAATATAAAACAGGCTGAGAATATATTAAAGCCGCACAATGCGCATCCAAACGCTAATTTCTTCAGTACTAGACTAGCAAATACTTCGTGTCATGCATAATCATTCTCCCTTATGGCAACATAAACTCTAGTTCCTCCCATTTGCCTGCGCGTTCCCAACAAGAACGCGGTGCGAAATCAGGC